CTCATCCCTACTTCCTTATACTATCTTTATCTTTCTAGTCCATTTTCTTCTCACTTTTTGCAAACAACATCAATGTTTTCTTTCAATCCTCATCTAAACAGCATGTAATATCTAACGGAATCTACAATTTATGTTTCCATGGAGGGTTTTTGGGGGTGGGGGGGTGAATTTTACCCTGTTCTTCATTCAACTTGTATTTTATATGTTATTTTCTTATGCCATAAAGCATATTTTTCCAAATTCGTTTCAATAGTCTTTGGAATGATTAATACTACTTTCCTGGGATTAAATGTTCCCTTGTACTACAATAGGATGAGGATGATGACTCCTCATCCCATCTCCTGCGTCAAACCAAATATGATCAAAAGATTGCAAGCTTTGTTTAGTAATCATTTAGATAATCTACTAACCAATTCCAGGATACGTAATCCAGGGAGAGTAAAATGCTAAAAAAGATCGATAACACGTGTTATAAATTTTGACACCACAGAATATAAAAAATTAGGAGGAAATGGTAATCATTGTTAAACCAGAATAAGAATAAAGTTGTAGAAGAGAATTGGTGATAGGCTACCTCCAAGACTGGTAAGGGGAAATTAGACAATCAAAAACATTAACACGCATATATTCCACAAATAGAATTAGATGAGGAAACTAAACCTATACTTAAAAAAATAATATGGCCACCTTGATGGAGGGCTTTCAAGTCACCAATAATATATTTAGGAAGATTGAATGGACATGTCGATAGATACAGTGATGATTTCGACAGACTACATTGCAATATAGTTATGGTACAACGAATGAATAAGAGAATGCTATGACGAAAAGCATCTCATATGACCTCTAGTCTCTTACAATTAAGGTGGACTTAGCTAACAACAAAACACAATTAACACAAAGTATCTATATGCACAATACTAACTAGTTACAAACCGATACTTTAGCAGCTGTTGTTATACTCGCCAGTGGCGGTTCACAGTAAGCTTTGCTAAAACATTGTATATGTATTAAGAAATCCACTAAATATCTGACTATGAACCCAGTTACTGTTATGCATGAACTTGAGGACGTTGTAGCAACCCATAAACTTCAAATCCTGGATCCCACTGACCGATATTCGTTAAGAGTCTTTTCCATCCCAATTCCCACTGACCGACATTTTTAGTCCTTTTCTATTTTTTTAGAAAAACATCATTTTAGACGAACAACAATTTACCTCAAAAGAAAAATTACCCAAAATAGCACAGAATGAATACAGAGAGATTCATATATCCAACCCAAACTAGTTTGAGATTGAAACCTAGTTGTAATTGATTGATTAATCTATTTATGAACATCAATTCCCCAAAATTTTAACCAAGAAGGCGTAGCATCCTTGTAACTGGGAAGCTATAAAAACTCCCAACAACAACAACAAAAAATTAGTAGTAAAATTTATCAAAACCAGCAAACGGAACTCGTATCAGAGAAGCAGCAAATCGAGAATAAAATGATAATTGTAGATACTAATAAACTTGCCTTTCCAGAGATGAGAAGCCAGCAATCATCTTTGTTGTTGTGCTCCAACAAGTCATTAAAAGCATGAAGTTTGGTCATCTTCACAGATCACTGCTTACAATCTATCAAACGGGAATACAAAAATTAAACCCAGAAATTAAAATCAAACTTATAGAATGCAGAAATTGAGGTTACCTCTGAACTTCCGCCGAACGCACGCCACAAGTCAAAGTTGAGTAACTTTGGGGTTACCAATGCCCGATCCCCTTGTAATACGATGTATTATTATTTTATCCCTTTTACACGTACCAAGCTTTTATTTAATGTTATTTCTCCGTTTATTTCCATTTGTTCATTATACTAAAAATAAATTTTATTTTATTTATTAAATAATTTGGTATTCGATATTTGATATGGTATTAGAGCGTAAAATTTTAGAATTATGACATTCAAGTTTGGATTTGGTATGGGATATTAGTATCATTTGATATTCGTTATTTCTGAAATACCAAATTATTTACTTAATGAAGGTCATATATCAACATATTTATTATTCATTAGTACAAGTTCAAAGACAAAATTAAAGAATAAGCATAAACAATCCAAATATATATTATATGTCTTTGTTTTTCTTGATATCTTCTTACTTGTTGATCTTCTATAATATCGTGCCTCCACATAAAAAATATAGAAATAATTGGAGGAATAATATTAGCTTTGTAATACAATCGGCTATAACTTCAATACGATATTACCGCATACCATACCAAATCGAAGTTTAATTTACCGTTTACCGAATTACTGAACCCAAATTTAAAATTTTGATATTTGATATCCATTTAACTACCAATTACCGATTTATCGAACCCAAAATTTAGAAAATTCGAACCGAATACTGAATGGTCACCCTTAGGTGATACTCCATCCGTCCCATTATATAGGTCATCTCTTTCTATAAATAGTTGGTCCAAAATATTTGTCATTTCATAAAATTAATGCATAAATTAGCTTATTGTTCCTTTTTTATCCTTGTGAGTTATTAGCATTGAAAACATACATTTGACCAACTTAGAAAAGTTAAGTAAATGATTCATGTTCATTGATTAAATTAATTAATCAAAATAAATTAATTCATATTCATTGATTGAAAATTTGTATTTCAAAAAAATTAAATAAGCGTAGAAGGTAAAGTTACATCATTTCTTAATGCAAGAGCAAGTAAAAATGTGACATATAAAATAGTACGAAGGGAGTACAATAGAAAAGCTTAACTAGTATCCTCAGTGTAACTCTATTTTCCACGGTTACTAATAGAGTTTCTTTTTATTTTTTGAAGTTAATTAATATCCATAGTCAGCGGAAGTCTATTTTACACCGTCAAGGGCTTTTAAGGCTTACAATAGGTAAAACTTTTAATTATTTTTAAACTTTTAATATTTAATTAAATACTCGTTGTACTTATAAGGGAAACTTGAACTCAAATTAGAAGATTTCGTTGTCCTTGATTTCATCCTCAATTTTTGGATATTTATTTAGAGTATCCAATATATACTATATCTCCAACACCATTCTAGATAATTCTTTATTCATTATTTTTTTCTATTTAAGATTTAGAGATGTGATATACAAATTTTATTCAATCTATACAGTGATCTTTTTTAGTTAAGTATAAGTTTAATCAAAATTTGTGAGAAGATGAGATTGAATTCTATAATTGTCCGAATTGCCTTACATATATGGTATATGTCTTGAGCCAATATGACAATAATATGGATCCATTACTAGTACTAGATATATGATCAAATAGTTTTTCTGAAAAAATATGTTTATTAATTTTAAACATGAAAATTGGACACACCATTTCTGTAGTTTTGATGAATGGTTTGAAGTGATTTTTTATGAAGTATGAAGTACACTAAACGTTTTAGTTAATTGAATTAACAAAAGTTGTATAGAGATCAAAAGCCCAGGTTCTTTTGGCTCAAATTATCACGCAACATCATATGAATTTACAATTACTTTATATAGACATGAGCTAGAACTTAAGATAAAGTAACCTCCAAAAACTCTAACAATCATTAGACTTGCCTTGTGGAGGCCAGACTTAAATTGGGTAAAATTTTTATGTTTACAATAATGTAACAATATTTTATGATTCTGCAATTTTTCCACTCACTTTTCACTCTCTATTACTAGAAAATTTACGAACTCTTGAATTTAATATTCCATCCGCTCTCTTTTAGTTGTTATGTTGCATTTTTTGAGAGTCAGTTTGACTAAGTTTCAAATCTAAATTAGATTTCATTAATTCCATATTTTAAAATATAAATTTAGATATTCATAAATTATATGAAAAGTAACTACAAATTGCATTTTTCCCCATATCAATATGATGATAAAAAATATCTTAAAATGTTAGTCAAAGTTCATATCGTCCGACTCTCAAAAAAGAAAACTATATATGACAACTAAAAAGAAACGGAGGGAGTATCAATTTCGGGTAATTGTAATAGTGACGTTGATTTCCCTCAAAACAATATTTGTAGCGCATCCGCACGCCCTGCCAGTAATTATATCTGTAATAGTTCCCTGTTCGACCAAAAAAACAAAGAAAATAGCATGGGAACTAAGCTAAATGACTGAATCGATCCTTAGTTGATGGATTCCAATTAATAACACTAAAAATAATACTCCTACTACTTGTAAATTACGCTAAGGATTGACTAAAGGGAATGTGTTATGAACCTATGTCAATACCATCTACACGGATGCCATGCAATTAGTTATTGGGCCGACAAGAAGCAACAAAATTGAAAGGCCTTCTCAAAGGTTGATTTGGGATCCAGACCCAATTAACAACTGGTTAAAAGGACGATGGATGAGAAAGAATGGTTTATGCAAAATTGTTATGAAGAGTCTATATTCCCTCGTCCCCTCTCTAAGGATCTGGTTTCTCATCTCTTTCTAGTTTTTTTCTATCTTTTAATTAAGTCGTTTGAGTCGTGTAACTATTATTAATTACAATAATTTCTATTGTATCCTTATTGTGTAATTGGAATGCATCTATGAGTTTTTGCTGAGAATTGGGTTTGTTACAGAATGAGATAACGAGTACTCCCTGTGACAAGAAGAAATATGTTCGCCATATAGACCTATTTGCAAGCTGACAACAATTGACATTACACATGGGATAATTAAGAATATGTCATTCTATTTTGGTGTATGTAAGTGGTGCTTTGACATTACACATGCATAACTGCATCGCAATGTTATGCACGTACGAAGTGGGGTATCATGTATATATATGTATGAAGAATTAATATAGTTGATTGTCAACTCCGTTATTATATATTAACTTAAGATTATATAATTGTTACAAGGATCAATAAATTTCAAATCTTCTAAAGTTAGTTTCAAGAGGCTCAATTATAACTACACAAATATATAAATATCTATTTTAAACTCCATGCTGTCAAATAAGGTGTAGTAATAGATTCGCATAAATTGAAATAGAGTCTTGTTACAACGATCGAAGACCAAAAGCCACTTTACATGTAGAATTCACAGGGTCTAGCTTTTGGCAACATATGACATAACGAATATATGGTCACCACATGAGAAATTAACAATTACTACAACTTGCACAAACATTATTATAAGGATAAACATTGCCTCTCATTTCCAAGCAATTAGAATCCAGTACACTGCAACAGAACAGCTTAGGCAGGGATTTCTGCAAATGCATGCAATGAAAGAAAAATAAATATCAACGCAGAATTAAAATGTTGTCAAAAAAGGTCAGACAAATAAATTGAAACAATGTAATGAGCACCTAGAATTTTGCGAAGTGAAATAGATTTGGAGGTGATAGGGAAAAGCTCGAGCATAGTACTGGCTGCTGCTGCTGCTATCGCCTGACTGTTCTTTTGATTTTTTCCTTCCATGTCTGGATGAATCTTCCTTTTCAATGCCCTCGTCATCAACTACGTACACACAAGCAAATCAATCAAATCATTACGTTTATAATCAATTGAAAAAACATGTTAATTAAGTGATTCATAATTAAGTTGTTAGCTCACTTTTTGTATGCGACGAGAATCCTGTTTAACTCGAGGAATAATCTTCTTAGCAAAAGAAACACCATTTTTCACTTGAGGTAATTTCGAAGATTTCTTATTAATATTAGTAACGTCATCGTACAAATCCGGAAGCTGAACTTTCTCCTTATCATCATCATCATCAGAAAGATCAGCTGAGAATAAATCTGCTAGTGTGATCCTTTCCTTCTTAATATCCCTGTTTGACTCAGCAGCAGCAGCAGCAAGAGGATTGTTGTTCGTGATCACATTTGCCATAATTGGTGACTCCTCAGGTCCTTTATTAATATTTGCAGACATCAACGCGTTATGTTCTTCAGGATCACTAACTGCAATTATCTCAGATACTTCATATTCGTCATTTAGAACAGTACTACTTAACTGATCTTTAATTGGATCGAATCCAAATGTGCCGATTGTAAGAATTCCTTCTTTCCAGCCCCCCAACATAGAGTACTCATCATTGCTAATTATCACCTCATCTGTTTTCACATTCCCACAAAACAATCCATCTGCCATAATATAGTAAAATCTTCAACAAACATATTTTAATTTTAAAAAAATACTAATTAATTAGCCAGAAAAGGAGGATCGATAGCTTCACCTTTCGGATTAAGTTTACGATGAACCCAACTGAAGATCTACAAACAAAAAAAGAAGAAAAGAGTTTAGAGCTTTGTCACAACAATTTGGAAGACAATAAATACACTTTTGGGCGGGAGAAATTAACAAGAAAAAGAAAACACTGGTGAGCTACAGATGATTAAATTAAATTGTATACCTTCATTTGTTGTTTGGGAAGTTGGCTATGGGAAATTGATTGAAGTTGAAATATTATGTGACACGTTAAGCAGTACTGGAGTGGACTCTTAATGGGCAGATAAATAATAAAGTGGCGCTGTGAAGGGTGGGGGAATTAAGGGGGACCAATTAGGTACAAGGTTGAACTACTTGACAAGTGTATAAGGCTAAATAGAGGGACCTTTGTTTGTAAGATTATATTGCATGTTTCTGTAGAAAAAAACTATTCCATCTCTATAATCTCTATGACTTCTTCGATGCAGCCCACAAGTACCAAATAAATATACGTTTGTGGCGAAATGGATGAGATCAAGTCTTGATTTCGTGTCATAGAGAATGTTAATATTGATTATGATCCCTTTTAATTGACTTTGTTCAACGTCTTTTAGCTTTAGGTTGATTTACGTGGTTCAAGAGTTTGAATCAAGAGGTCATGAGGTGCGACAAATTTTTCTTGAACATATATGATCAAAAGTACTATAGTAAGTTCATATTAAGAACCTAAAGGTAAAACCCGTCAAATATAAATCCTAATCCACTTCTTCATGATTGTGCGCCTATCTTTTTAAAATTCTGATACGCCATCTACCCATCTTATTGGTATGTGTCATTGCACGAAAGAGAGCTCATAATTAATGTCATCAATCAACTTGAACCTTCAAAAGTAGAAGCAAATGGCAAATAAGAGAGAACATCCCACAAATTGATTCACTTGTCATGTCATTTGGCTTCAATTGTAAGGTATTTTCACATGTTAAACCCGACCACTATATGAGTTAAGCAATGGGCAGAAGCTACTACTAATCCAAGAATACCATGACATGATGACAATCATCTAGTAGTGCATGCATTTGGTCAAGTCCTTGTTTCATAAAAAAAAGCAATGATGCAAATAATTGTTGCACTTTACCTTGATATTTCGAAAGAAATAGTAATTCATACACACAATAAAGCTACCAATTATTATTACTAAAATTCTAATTTTTCATCAATTATTTTCCTTGAACTAACAAATCGCCAAGCTGCTACCTTTTGCATTATTGCAATAATTAAGAGACTTCGATTTTGGAATCTTTACTTTGCTACCTTTTTCTTTTTCTTTATGTCGGAATACTAGGCGGACCCTTAATAATATCATACGATACAAAAGATATGGAAGATGAAGATGAACATTAAGTTCACCTCCTAGAAAAACTCCACTCTTGCACAATATTATTACAAAAGGGGCTTAATATTGATATCATAGTCTTACACCTATCAAGTACTTTCACACCGAAACACTAGAATCGAACCAATATCCACATTGACACTATAAAAGCACCTAAATAATACAAAAGATCATGCACCTAGGATAACTAAAAACCATATATATATACTATGAATCCAGATATTTAAGATTAAATTTTAAAACAGTACTTCTATCAAACAATTACTGTTATACACGTAATGGACTAGTTATATCCGATAGCGTAGAGTTGATTTCTCTTATGGTCACTCAACTATTTATTATCTCATAAATTCAGTTTTTTTTGTTGAAAAAATGTATTGAAATCTAGAAGAAATGAGACTTTTGGAGATAATAATAATATTAGTTAAGTGACTGTCTAAGAAACAGAATAAAATGCAGAGGGACATAACTTGCAATGGATATATTATGATAATTAAGCAAGCACATCGTAGCGTACGATAGCTAGATGATCAAGCTTTGTGGAGAGGCTGTAATTTTGACGGGTTGTGGCATGTCTTATTGCACCTTCTTCTCATCTGCCAGTCTGTTATATATGATGAGGAGTAAGAATTTTGCTTTGGATTCTCTGTATACAAGAATTATGGCCTTTCATTCAACATGTACATTTGCATTTGCATTTGTTCCTCTAGACGTGGGTCTTCTCTTATTTTGGTCCTCTCATTTTTATTTTTATTTTTTTTTCGTTTCTTTTTCGACAAAAGATAGATATTATAGTACTTCTGCGTACAGGTGCTACCCTAGATATGTTCTTCAACGAAGTAATTGCAAAATCAGTTAATAATTAAATTATGTGCTAGTTTGCTTAGACTTTTTTTAGGTAGTAATTTTATGTTTTTTATTTAATTATATGAATAACACTTCTTTTTTTCATTTGATTCAATCTTGGCATTGTTCCAATCCTTCTTGATTGCACGTTCAAGTGTCATTCTTATTATAGCAAGTGCTTCATCAGTTTATGACTCTTTCACAAACTGAATTGAGAATCCATCATCCATGGCATAACGAAGTAGTTCCCCAAGACTATCTAAAGTCGCAATACTAATACTTGACTGTTGTGCATTACAACATACACACTGTAGTCCCACAAAGTGAGTTTCGAAGAGAGCAGAGTGTATATACCTAGAGTAGAAAAATTGTTTCCTATAGACAGTCGGCTTAAGGAAAAATAGTCCAAAGAGGTCCCAAAACAAAATAACCCAATTACAAAAAACAGTCGGTAATAATAAAAACAACCGATAGCAACAAAACAAAAACTATAACAAAATATTATGCTAACTAGTCGCAGTACATATAGTAATCAAAATCAAAGGCCAAGAAACTACTAGAATAATATTGGCTGGTTGTTGGTGGGGCCCTAAAGCAATTGATCCCAAATTGAGGATAAGTGAATAATCAAAAATATCTTTATGCTCATAATAATCAAATAGCGACTTAGAGGCAAAAATATCTTTATTCTTTTTAAGACTTTAGTAGATTTTTGAAGGATTTTATATCTCACGTCTTTCTCAATAGAATCACTGTCACATAAAACGTTAAAATAGTCCAGGCACCGTTACCGCGTTACGTTACTGTCACTTAATTGCACAAGGGGCATAGGTGTCACCCTATACTTAATTACGTTATAATTTTTCTTAAATGTGCAATCAGGCTATGTACACAATTAGTTTACTTGAAAGCCAATATTCCAAATAAAAAGAAGGTAGCAAGTAAATAACATGTTGAAAATAAATAGTCAAATACAGTTTATAATCTTTCGTAAATTGCTGTACTAAAATGAAGCAATGTTGCAGATGTCCTTCCAATGCCCAACTCTGTAGATCAATTCCGTATGGAACGTTTTGAAGAATTCCGACATGTTTTATTTCACTGGAAGAGGTAAAAATTTATCCGCCTCCAAAGATGCATGACATGTGTTTGCTATCATATCTTAAATGTAACACGAATATCGATCTTAGCTAAAATTAAAATCGTAACTAGCTAGTTATGTCATCAGGGCCGATCATCAGCTATTTAGCTTGGTTTCCGTCATTATATTTTTTATTTATTTATGTTATCCCGATTCACATTACAGAAATAAAAAGAGTTTGTAACACAAATATTTGTAAAACAGGACAACTTGAAAGGAACTTCATAAATTAATGCCGATAACATATTACATCGAAAGGTGGACTACAACTCAAACATGGAGAATCCAGAATCCACGCCCTCCTCATTTTAATTTGTTTATTATCAATTGGAAAAACTTCTCAAACATCATACAGTATATAGAATATTATTGTTACCTCAACTTCATATGCTTGCGTTTCACCAAGAATCACATTGTATCTATAATTAGCAAAGCAGAGGATTTTAATCCGTCGAGAAGAAGATATGGAAACCAGGATCATGGTCAGTGAAACTGGATTCGTCTAAAATCGAGTTGTTCACTCCTTGTACATTACTGTTAATGAACATAGTAGATTCTTCCATGTCCATTGAATTCATGTCACTTTGATCTTCTTTCTTCTTCTTTTGATCTCCTTCAACAGTATTGCCTTCTTCTTTCTTGCCAACAGTTTGGGACTTACCTCCAAACACATTAGTAGTAGTATAAGATTTCTTGGTGGAATTTGGTTTCAATAGCATTATTGCCCCTTTGTTTTCGCCAATTAGTGTTACCAACCTCCTTGGTAATTTTTCAAATTTAGTACTACTATCCATAGCAGATTTCTCATTCATCTTAGAATTTCCAGCGGTTTCTTTCCCGGGTTGACGAAACAGAGGCTTTGTTTCGGGGTGTAATTTTGGTGGAGATTCGTTCCAAGGCTTGACAATTCTTGAAGTAGTAGGAGCAGGGGAAGGAGGTGGAGGTGCTGCAGTTTTAGCTGTTGGTTTTGGGGTCTTGGTTTCAGGGCTTTTTAAGCTGAAGGAAGAGGAAGCAATTGGGAGAAATGCGGGAGATGTAGGTGATGAAGAAAGTATTGATTTGGCTGGAGAGACAGGGGCAGTAGATGGTGTTGGAGATTTTGGTGCAGTAATAATGCCAGGGAACGATGCTCGAATTGGAGGAGCAGATGTGACAGCAGGTGGTCGAGGCTGAGGGGAAGGAGGCCTATATGGTCGTGGAGCAGGAGATCGAAATGCAGTTGGCCGAGGGGTTGGTGGTGGAGTTGGTTGCATTTGGCGACCAAAAGGAGCCAAACGGAACCATGAAAATGGTCTTTGTTGGTTGGACATTCTTTAGGAACACACCACACAATAGAGAACCCCCACTGGACTAATTAAATTAAACTCGAATTTAGGTAACTTCAATGAGTTGGTTATTCAATTCTTTGATGCACACACATAAATTTATACATGTCTATGACTAAGGATTCTTGATGAATTCACCGTGGAAAACGGGGACAAAAAGTTACCTAAACTAACAAATAAAAAGATGAAAAAGAAGTAAGAAAAGCATCTGGTTCATTTACAGGGTTTGGTATAAAATCTTTGTTGTCTGCATTCCTCAAGAATACATCACATACTTTTTTGTGAGTGGAATGAAGTTTTCACTTTGATTGGCTTCTCAAAGACTCGGTGACAACTAATAACAACTTACAGCAGAAACAACCCTGCTGGTGGGGTAACAGAATTTTTAACAGTTTTGAGTCTAGAACAAGCCGTTTGCGAAACAGACAGGGGATGAGAGTGAAATGCTCATATTCCCTGCAGAATCTGTCTTAGATATTGTGTGTATATGAAGTAAAATGTTTGAATTGCGGCTTCTACAATTGTACAGTACTGTTGATCATGCAGACTCTGATCAAACTATCTATGATACATAGACAGCATATATATGGTCCTTTTAATTGGAGAGTCCTCTTCCCATTGCTTATCCTTGCCTCAAAATTCATTTTTGTTACAAGAACACAGACATCAAAAGCAAAAAGTGGAAAATCAACGAACAATAACGAATAACAGGCTACTGTATTTCGGACTTCAATAAAGATTCTTGAATTTGAAGTGAACAAAAAGGGGTATTTTGATATGGGGTGTAATTCACTTCAACTGTCTTTGTCTTGACTTTGCTTGCTTGAAATATGATGCTGTCTCCCTCTTTCAAGAGGCTTCAACAGGGTTCTAAGATAAATCAACTTCTTTTCATTAGTCCTTTCCTACTTTTTGTGTATCTTGATTGATTTCTTAGTACTTCCATCTAAGTTGTAGAATAGTAAGTTCTTTTCAACCATCCATTCTTACATTTTGTGTATTATTATCTTCCTGGCACTTTGATCCCATGAAGTATTTTAGCTTAAACAAATTAAGGAATATGAATTCAAAGGATTGTTACAAAGAACTCTAATACCAGAACAGAACTGAATGGATACAAAAGATTTAATATAGTAAACCCCAACTGATTGTGAATTGAGGCATAGTAGATTTTGATTGATATAACAATACTTACACAACTAGTTTTGACATCCATCCTTTTTCTTTTTTTCTTTGTTTCTAGACAATTCCTTGAAAGGGTCATTACATCTGGTGTACAACAACTTTGCCACACTAAGTAGGATCTCTTCTATTGTGAATGTTCACACGCAAGAATGCAGACAACTCGACCTTCAAACTTCGAGCCAATTCAAGGCCAGTTGGTAAATTCGAATACTTTGAAGACAATGTCAATTCCAGTGGGGATTTGCCAAACAAATAGGATAACGTTTAATGCATTCAAAGCTATGTGCAGACTCCTAGCTGTTTCGTTCCCCTTTTGCATTGCTGGTACAAGAGCTGCTGCTGCTGCCCATAGAACTGTAATCCCTGTTCCATGAAAGTTAAAATAAATCAAGTCATGTAGATAAGGTTGCAAGTTCACACCAACATTATGTTCTACAGCATTTTATACCCTTGGAGCTTGTAAGAACTATAAACAAGTGTACATGCTTTAAGCCTTGTACTCAGAAATGCAGGACCCGATCACCTCAAAAAACAAATGAGTTACTTCATCAAACTCACTGATAACATATGGAGAATATTATATATTTAAAATAGTCATCTGTAAATACAAGGAACTCTGTAAACAGGAACTATTCGGAGCTTAAAGTCTTCTATAATAATATTTTAATTTGGCAGGAGTAAAACTCCGAATTTCCACTGATTGTAGATCTATTGCTCCCACTTCTAATTAAAAAACACGTTTAGGCAGCAATTACAAAGTTCTCCTATTAAGAGATTGTTGCTAACACTGTCTTGACCATATTGCTGCTTTATTCAATACTTCTCCAAGAAAAATGTATGACTATGATCAACAATAGAACACTCGGAAAAGCCCACATACAGCGAAATTTTTTTGTTGCCATTGGAAAAAGAATTAGTCCCACACCTATTAACATAGGAACTAGAAGTGGAATGAAAGTATGATCATGGCATATTTGTTCTGTCTCAATTAAAAGGCAAATAACGTTTCAAGAACAAATAGTTCTGCTTCCGTGTTGCTTTTGTATTGTTTTTTTTCTTTTTTCCCTTCTTTGTGTTTTATTCCGTGTATCTTTGACTCTAGCCTCTCATTTGACTCGCTACTTTGTCAACTTTTCAGTCGCTCATGAGTGTGGCATGCACCTCTACATCTTTTCCTATTTACAGTCAAGGACTGCTGCTCATAACTATTAAATATAGAAGGAAAAAAAGGCAAAAAAAAATTATGTGGACCATATGATTCTATTAAAGTATAACCATACATGATTTTATTTAAGGTATTACCAAAAATATTTACAGTTCTTAAAATGATACTAGATGGAGTAATGATTATTATGAAAAAGTTGCTTAAAATCTCGAAATAGTACTATGTTTAGATTAATGAAGGCAAACTATGGCCTAAAACTATATTTGCTGTGAATGGAAGTAATATGGACAAAGTTTATCAACCATAGGAGGAACATGCATGCAGAGGCATGGGACTAGTAAGGCAGTTATGGATAGTCCTCAAAACCGTAAGCAAGCTCTCAAGTCTCAACCAACTTCTAATCTGTGAGGTAGCATTTAAGTCGAAAATCATAGGGGTGACAATAAAAAAAAATTGTTATACTATAGCTGAATACAAGTATAGGATTCCACATACACGCAGAAGCTAAGATTCTTATTTATAGAACTGTTTCCCCTAGTTGTTACTAGTTTGGAGTAACTTAGAACTACAAGTTGAGAGAAAAATATAACACATTGAGTTTTAAGTACAACAAAGATATTTATACAATGTCCTATTTTGAAAGTCTTTACTACCTTTCTTGTCACATAAATTAAAGATGATACAATCATTTAGTACTCACAAATAAGGGGAAAAAACACCAAAATAGGATGAAACATATGACACATTTATATTAATGTAGATACATGTATTGATAGGAGATGTGAACATTACCTGCCCCTGCAAACAAATGAGGCCCTGGAAATAACTTTCCTGTCCTAAGCCAGGTATTCAAACCTCCGAAAATTGCCTCAGACACCCCAAAACCAAGCAATATTGAACCTGCATTGAAGTGTCTATCCCTGAATGAACCTTTGATTAACTCCTTCCGCTCCTGAAAGTTCAAAAGAGGCGACATAAAACATTCAGAACTCGGAAAGTGGATAAAGCATGACCACCAGTTTTAGTAGTACATCTGCAAGTCATTTCATTAGGAGCTCAACCAAAAGGGAATACAAGATTAAAACTATAAAGTCCATCAACACGATAGATCATTAAGATCGCAAAAAGCCAGAACTACCAAAGAATTACTACCAGTTAGTCATATTAGATGACACAGATCCACAAAATGTGTTGTAAACTTTGCAATAGCTCGGCTACAAAGGATCAATAATGTTTTCTTCCTCAAAAATACACATAGTTCCCCCACTGCAGTGAAGTGCCGGATCTAGGATTTTCACTAAGAGAGTTCGGAAAACCTAGTGCCTAGTATTTGAACTTGGAATCTCAAGATGAAAAGTGAACTCCTTAAACCACTAAGTCAACCTCTAGTCTTGTAATTAGGGTATTCAAATTCTGTATATATACATAAAAATGTAAAAACTTGCCTTATATATTACAGTATAATTTTTTGCCAAGGGGGGTTGGGTGAACAACCTAGGACCCCTCTAGATCCTCTAAATACATTCTTAAAGGGTATAAAGAACAAAATTAAACTGATACAAAAAAAGAATGGACCTCAGTGAGTTGCTGAATTTTAGCTTCAACAGGGGATGGCTTGGGGTTTTCAACAGGGGTGCCCTCAGGAGTCACAGTGACAGGTTTAACTTCCTTCTTGAGCTCATTAATCTCATTTTGTATAGTCCTAACTCTCCTCCATTGCCATCCAAGATAACCAGCATATAAAGTGTAAACAAACAAACCACTCATAACAATGGGATGAATCAGAGCAAAACTCCTCCCTTCAAAAATCCCAAATTCTCCACCTGCTGCAAATGCATCCTGTAATTCCATCAAATTTCACAAAACCACAAGATTCAAAATCATCAATATGACGAGTAAAATTACAAAAAGATCAAAACTTTCTCAATAAAAACGAAAAAACATGCCTGGGCATCAAGAAAGAAAGGAAATGTGAGTGCAGTAAGAGGAAGAGAAGCTGATTTGAGCTGTTCAATGGTGTCATGAAGGAGCAACTTTTGTGGGTTGTAAGAATCTTGATGACATTGTTGTGGTAGAAGAGTAACTGGAGAATGTTTGCAGCTGGGAATTGAAATCTTGAATTTGGGTTTTGAGGGCAAGATTGGAAGTTTGAGAAGGCTAAGTGTGGCAGCCATGGTCTGTGCAAAGATTGATTTTGTCTGACACGTTTAGGAAGGAGGAACTTCAAGAAAACGATAATGTGATTGACAGGAGGAGAAAAAGATAAGGAATTTTTTTGTCCGCACCTTTCCAAAGAATTGATTTTGTACCCTATTTACAAATTCTTATAAGGGGTATTTACTTTTATAAATAAGAAAAAAATATGCTCTTACTTATTTTAGGTTAAGTTATTTTGTTAAATATTTTCATAACATTATCGTCAATCATTAGTAGTTTTCAAATTAAGATGAGTTTCTATACTACTAGTCCTCATGTTCTTTAAATTTTAAGGTTCATTAGAGGTTATCTCATTCTAAAACTTTGAATTTATACCTATAAAAACGATGTATATTTCATAGACTCTTGGTTATTTAGCAAGAGATCAAAAAATCATAATATTTATTTTTCTCAAACCATGTCTTTCTCAAAGTTGAAGAGTTTAAAGGATATTTTTTCTCAAGATCAACTAGCAGTGTGACTCGATGTTATTGAAGATCAAACATTTTTCAAGGAGGGCGAAATTATTCTATGTTTGAGGAAATTGTAATCACAATTTTGATAAACAAACCTTTTTACTTTCGTTCTCGAATCATGGAGAAAATTTTAAATACGAAATATTAAAATATTGTAATATTTCCGACAATCTAAATACAAGAAAATCCGTATCATCTTACATTAAAAAAATGTAGGAGAAAAGACCAAGTTGGGATAAACAAAATTATACGCATACAATAAAAAAATTATATTTCATTACATTTTAGTGTTGCCAATAATCATACTATCATGCTAGCTATTATTATTGGATAAGCTTCATATGGTTACATGCAGGTGATATTTCTAACTCAAAAAATAGAAGTATTATTTGCTTTTTGAAATACACTTATATATCTAAGTTATAATTAATTATTTTTTACTGTTTAACATTCCACGTTCGCTATATGCCACATATTTTCATATCAAACCAAACACAGAAATTCGTACTATAATTCTTGTGGCCCATAATTTTTTTTCTTCTTTCTTGCGTATGAAACTTCGAGTAATGTCCCACTAACACGTTAAAATGGTCAAGTCTTGAGTAGAAATTACTGGAAACTAAAAATTATATTTGTCAAAAGATGAGAGGGAGTTGTTCGGATGGTAAGCATCCTCGGTATTTTCAATCCGAAGATTATGAGTTCGAGTCATCAAAAAAGCAAAAAAATGTTAGCTATCTTGATGAAGATAACTTGAAGAACAGTTCCTGTAACTCTAGAATGTTCTCAGATGCAGAGAGAAAGAACTCAAATGTATTTACTTTTCATGAACTGAATTAATTAGCACAAACTTGGAAGCTCTGTACACTTATACAATGAGAAAATATTGTTGTAACTAATCTAACTAACTCCTTACTAGCTAGTCCTCTAACTTCTGTTATTTACAAAATGATCCTAACTAAACTGTATTATAACTAACTATGTAATGCCTTCTTCAATACTCCCCCTCAAGTTTGTAGGTATAAACAAGTTCAGTACTCCAAACTTGGACATCAAATACTCGTGCTGACACTTGCCCAGTCCCTTTGTGAGAATGTCAGCCTCTTGTTCCTTGGTGTTCAAATACTCAGTTAGAACTAGGCCATTTTGAAATTTCTCTCTTATGAAATGACAGTCCAGTTCTATATGTTTAGTTCTTTCATGTAGCACTGGATTGACAGCAATTTGAATTGCAGACTTGCTATCACTATAGATGGTAACTGGAGTTAAAACTTCAGCTCCTAGTTCCTTGAATAGCTTCACTATCCAGACCACTTCAGCTACTGCACTTGCCATACTCATGTACTCAGCTTCAGCTGAGCTTCGCGATATTGTTCCTTGTTTCTTGGATTTCCATGATATGAGGGACTCTTCCAGCTTTACCATAAATCTTGTAACTGTTCTTCTTGTGTGTAAGCATCCGTACAATCTGAATCACAGTAGACTTTTAGTTGTTTGTTGTTCTTGCTGGATAACAACACACCAAGCCCTGCTTCACCTTTGATGTATTTGACTACTTTAAGAGCAACATTGAGATGAGACTGCTTAGGTTGATGTAGAAATTGACTTAGTGTCTGTGTAGCAAATGTAATGTCAGGTCGAGTGACATTTAGATATAACAGTTTCGCAACTAATCTCCTGTAAACTGATGGATCTTCAAGTAGTTTATCTTCCTTGTTTATCCCATTTTGTTCATCATACTCCTTGGTAGTTGACTGTACATATGGATCAAGAGGAGTAGAAGTTGGTTTAGCAGCACCAAGACCAACTTCAGATATGATTTCAAGAGTGTATTTTCTCTGATGCATCACAATCCCTTTTTGTGATCTAGCAAACTCAATACCAAGGAAATATCTGAGATCTCCTAAATCCTTCATTTTGAAGGTATCCTGTAATATTCTTTTGGTATGTTAAATGAGACGGAGATCATTGCATGTAACCATCAGATCATCCACATATACCAGAATTATAACCATAAAAGTGTCTTCCCTTTTTATAAACAATGAGTAATCCAAATGACTTTAAACAAAGCCAAGTCTGATAAGTGCATCTGTGAGTTTCACATTCCATTGTCTATGAGCTTGTTTCAATCCATATAGGGATTTAGTGAGCATACACACTGGTTTCTCCCCCTGCACAATAAATCCCTTAGGAAGTAGAAAGCCTTGAGGAAGGGTCATAAACACCTCATCAAACAAGTCACCATGAAGGAAAGCATTGGATACATCCATCTGATGGATATGCCAATGTTCAGCAGCTGCAAGAGCCAACACACTACTAATTGTCACCATTTTGACAACAGGAGAGAAGGTTTCCTTGTAATTCAGGCCCTCCTTTTGATTAAAACCCTTTGCGACAAGTCTAGCCTTGAACCTTTCAACCTGGCCAGAGGCTTGATACTTGATTTTAAATATCCATTTGCAGCCTATAACCTTCTTTAGAGGAGGCAAAGGGAACCTCCCAGGTGTGATGTGCCTCTAAAGCTGAGATTTGCCTGCATAGCTTCAACCTACCTAGGATTCTTAGAAGTCTCTTCAAAAGTACCAGGTTCAACCTCAGAACCAAAGGAAGAAAGAAAGGCCTAATACGAGGAGGACAAGTGATCATAACCAATATATTTATCAGTGGAACATAGGGCTTTGCTAGAACTGAGATTAGCAGATGTTACATAGTCTTGTAACCATTAAGGGGCTTTGGTAGTTCTCTGAGACCTTCTCACATCAGAAACCACAGGCACAACCTCAGGTACATCTACATGAGAGGCTGATGGAACAACTGGTTCAACAATATCATGATGAGATTCATCAAATGATGTAGTAGCTGCAGGGAACAGATGCCAGACAGTAGTGAAAGGTGCAGCAAATGGAAACATAAACTCTTTAAACAACACATCTCTGCTGAGAAAGAACACTCTCGCAGTGATGTTGTAGAGAATATATCTTTTAGTATGTTCACTATAACCCATATGAATGGCAATCGCACTCCTAGGCTGAAACTTGTCATGAATATGCATATTCTTAGAAAAACATCCCAGAACTCTCATATGATGAAGAGATGGTTTGATGTTGTGAAAAACTTCATAAGGGGATCTGTCATGTAGCACAAGTGTAGGCAACATGTTGATGATATAAACAACAGAAAGAATACAATATCCCCAAAACTTTAGTGGAATGTGGCCTTGAAATCTGACTGCCCTAGCCACTTCAAGTAAATGTTTATGCTTCCTTTCAGCAATCCTATTTTGTTGAGGAGTATGAATACATGTTCTTTGATGAACAATGCCCAAACTTGTACATAATCTTTGACATTCAGAGTTGACAAACTCAGAGCCATTATCAGTTCGAATGGTTTTAATGACAACATTAAACTAAGTTCTAACTAAGGTGAAAAAGTTTTTCAAGACAACACAAATATCACTTTTCACTTTTATTAGAAACAACCACAACATTTGAGTACAATCATCAACAATGGTAACAAAGAATCTATTACTATCATATGTATGAGTATTAAAGGGACCCCAAACATCTATATGAAGCAAATGAAAAGGACATGAAGACATAAAAGTACTATGTGGAAAATGTAATCTATGTTGTTTAGCTAGAGGGCAAACAAGACAGTTATGAATTTCCTTGGAAAACTGACTAGTAGGAAGATCCAGAGCATGTGAAAGCACACTGGAAGAAGTGTGACCTAGCTTTTGATGCCACAACAGAATTTTAGCTTCAGTTGCATGATCAGCACCATGAGCTGAGGAAGAGTAACATTTGGTGGTTTTGTCTGAGTGAAAGTTGTGAGCAAAAATAAGATAGAGACCAGCATTTTCTCTACCAATCACCTTCACCGACCTACTGTAGAGGTCCTGAATAATAGCAAAATCAGGAAAGAAACACACTGCACAATGTAAGTCTTTAGTAATTTGTGATACTAAGAGTAGGTTGAATTTAAAATTAGGAATAATAAGAATATTTTTGATAATGTCGTTGGAAGTCAAATTACATGAGCATGTATGTGTGATGATGATAGTATCACCATTAGGTAATTGTACCCTCCTATGTTTATCAATAGGAATTTGGAGTTTTCTGATCAAGCATAGCTAAGTGAGGGGTCATATGATTGGTTGCACCAGAGTCTACAATCCAACCAGTGTGTGTAGAATTAGCTGAGAGAGCAGTTGCATTACCTGCTGAAGAGTGATTGTCCTGAGCTAAGTTGGCAGAGTGTGAAGTTGGGGTTGCCTCAGTGCCACCTTATATATTAGACTGACCAAGCATGTTTAATATTTGATTATATTGTTGATGTAACATAGTCATACCTCTGTGATAATCAGTATGATCAGTTTGTCTAAAACCTTTGCCATAATCCTGTGATCTCTGATTCATATTGCTGCCATAGTCTATATCAACATCACCAATCACATTGTGAGCATTTGGATATGGTCTTCTCTCATTAGGATTCATTCCTCTCCCATAGGAGTTATTAGAACCTTTCTTTTTTCTTTCATAATCAGAGGACATTCATGTAGTTTATAACACACACCTTGAGTATGTCATGTTCTTTTACAATAGTCACAA